GGTCGAAAAAAAGACATACCGCGGCCAAAAACAAGATGGACCGATCGCGCGGTCTAGAAAAAGACATTTCGGGGTCGAAAAAAGGAGCAGCCCCTTGAAAAAGATGTCTCGGATTCGAAACAAGATCGGAATGCGCTACAAGATGTTTGGAGGCCAAGAAAAGATTGCTTAAAACAATGCACAAAGGTTGAAAAAAAATTGTGCTCTTTTTCTAAGCAGGGGGCCTGAAAAAACTAAAAGTCGAAAAAAGACAACCAACGCGGTCTAGAAAAAGACATTTTTCAGAGTTGAAAAAAAGAGCAGCATTCAAAATCGGTCGATTGGTGTGTGTCAGAGAATTCTTCTTGCAGAAGTAACATTACAACATTACGAGGAGGATGTTCTTCCAAGAGAAAACATCCACATGTTTGGCTTGAAAGTCTTAATGGCACAACGACGGCTTGAGCTTTGGGCCACTGTTGACTTTTTTTTGCAGCTTCCATTCAAAGTTCAGCTGCCGAATGGTGCACACATCGGTTGCAAGGAGAGAGAGGAAGGGAAGGCGGAAGGGAGATGCTGCTCGCGGGTTGAAAAGTCGCGCAGGCAAGCACTTCGACATCCGTAACATTTATGGCATGAGCCACCGGAACAGTCCATGTTCGTACCTCACCCCCTTTCCGATCAAACGATCGGGTGGGCAAATATGCCCCGGGGCAGAGACAAAGGGAAGAGATAGAAAGAAAATACTGTTGAGAGGGAGAAAGAGAGACAAGAAGCAGACACACAGAGCTTCCACACTGTTTCGGTGAAGAAGAGAAGTAAGAGTATGTCGCTGTCGCCCGGTTTTTGGGTCTGACTAGCAGGAGGACTCACTAAGTCTTCATGTTTTGCAATGGAGCACGGCACGACATGTCAGCAGTGGCGGTTCAACTGCACTCGCAGCATTAAACTGTGAACGATGTTGTTGCTCATATTCGAACTTGGCCTTGCCGTGTTTTGTCGAAGGCTACTGAAGACCTATCGCGGTTTCCTGCACAGTCCTCTACGTGTCCTTCGGTCAGGATGTTTGGGACACCAAGCAGGTCACCGGTGTTGAAATCACGTTCGACGGGCCTGGCATTTTCAATGTTGATGGCGAGGCAGTGGCTCTGTAGGGAAAAGCATGAGCTAGGGATGAGGTAGGTGTCTCCTCTCCCCGTTCGCTCTCCGACCTTGGCTGGGCACCCGAAGTCCATCAAAGCAGACAAGAACAAGCGGTTCTGGAACATGATGGCTTTCTTCGCATCCGCGTGTTGCCTGCAGCTCTTGAACTGCTCGTGCCCTGGACATGTTGAGAATAGTCAATAAGACAGTCGGATGTTTGCCAGGTGTTCTGTTCCAAGGGCCTCGAAAGCACGGTTTCCTTGCCAGACTCCCCCATTTATTACAGGTTATTCCTGAAGCCTACATTTCGGTTCAGCCAGCAGGTCGAAATCCCCAAAGAAGCATGCTGTGATATGGCCAGGTTGGCAAGGACGAGGTCGCTTCCGCCGGCCCTGCAAAGGAGGCAATTTTGAGCTCTGGGGAACGGGTTCAGGGTGTAAGCAGGCACGTCAAAAGCAGAAACCGGCACAGGCTGTTTTGCCAACATGGAGAGCTGATCCTGCACGCTGGCGGATGCTGTTGCTCTACATGTTCGAGTGTATGTCCAACCAGGCCAGGGCGGAGTTTGCATTGCTTCAAGGTGTGTCACAAAGGTTGGCACGCGTTGTCAGGACATCTGGATTGGCTTTGCTCCAATTGGGTCCGATGTCATGACGGAGTACGGAGTATCTGCAACATTTGTGAACTTCCTGTCGATGATCTTCATGATTGTCCCTTGCCGCGATTACAGAGACCTCAGAGACCCAGTTGGGCCGCGCGGCTGCGCTGAGGTGTACTTGCCGGCCAACTTTCCAGCCTCCTATGCTATGGATGTTTTGGGTTGCCGATGGGCCCTGCTGGTGGGTGGCTGTCTCCAGACTTTTGGAGCTATCCTAAGGCTCGGAAGCATGTGAAGTGAAGCCTGCGATGACGGTGAGACTGCCATCGGGCCTTGCAGGTGCCTTCCAGCTGATGCTGTCACTGCTCGGTATCTGGCGTCTTGGACACGCTGGAGCTGTTTCGATTCAATACCAGCAGTGCGATCCCGTTTATATACCAAAGACTCATTGTTTGGCACAGCGACACGCGGTTTTGGCATCGTGCAGGTGTCAGATTTGACTAAACAGGCATCGGGAGAGGAGGTAGGACACACATGCATCGCCAGCACTCTAGCGGCTAGCAGCTACCAGGCGGTGTAGGCTGTAGCTGTGGCATAGGAGGCGACGTTCGCGTTTGGGTTCCCGTGCTGTTGATGACCAGACTCCTTTGAAGAGGGATGTTGTGTCCATTTAGCGTTTTGAGGCCTCGACATCCCAAACTGGTTAGCCTGAAAAACGAGGTGATGCTTGGCCAAGCGCTGGCTGCTGTGGGACAGCCTTTCTTCACGGATATGCCACCAAAGTCACCCTGACTCGCATTGAACAAGAACCGAATCGTACAACGTGCAGAAGCAACTTCCTGCATTGCTGCTCGAACGAAGCCTGCGACCCGTCGCACCAGGATCGCCGCAGATTGGTTCCCTGCCTACCAGCGCGTGCTGGCGGATACCCTTGCTTCGACGCTTGGCTGAATGCGCCTGGACCTGAAGACCTCTGCAGGACCTGAAGAGCTCTTGTTTCGTTGAATGAGAGGCTAGCAATGCCCGTGGGGGCAGCCGTGGGATTCGTACTGCCAGTGGCACTGGGCCTTTGTCCGATGCTCTACTTCCACCTGGCATGGTCCGCCTTGTGCCCTGTCCGGACGAAACAAACCTGTGTCGGTCTTCCGGTGGCAAAGTATCTCCGAGGTTCCTTAGCCTCACCTTCTTTTTCTTTCAAGCGGCACCGGCGACGCCCCCGAGCCCAACCAGGAAGCACCACGAGGCAAGGAGAGGAGAAAACTTGTCATGGGTCACTGTGCTCCCTTGCTATCGTGCAGGGATTCGGAGATCAGATCCTAGGACGATCTTCGAGCAGAGTCAAAAGGGGTGGCTGAAAGGCTTCAGGGCTCATGGCTGATGACAGATCTGTCTGAGCCTTCGGTTAACTGAGCCGGCGGTCCCTGAATTCTTGGGTCAGGGCAAGTCCTTTGGCCAAGAACTTGCAGCGGCGCTGTCCAACGGCAACTTGCAGCTCGGAGAAAGTGAGAGGAGTAGCAGAGTAGCATGAGGGTCCATGAGGATCACCGGGACACAGCGTCCGCTCTCAGCGCGGCAGCTCCTGGCTCTCAAGGTGGTGCCTGATCCTGTCCTTCTCACTGCGCAGCTTGTGGGGCCGTTTGGCTACAGTGCCGATGATGCCTCCATCTTCGGGTCACCACGTTCTGTGGAGTCCTTGGGGCTCTTTGCATGTCCGTTGTCGGCTTGACTGGGGCGCACAAAGCTGTCCTCACCACGTGCTGATCTTCGCGCTCCTGGCCGTGTTGACGGTGATCTATGTGGGCGATGGGCCATGGGGGGTGGAACTCTTGGCCTTGGCTTTCGGAGGCCTTGGCTTTTCTGCAATCCCGTTGATGCCCATCTCCTTCGAGGCGGCCGTCATGGTAAGCCAAGCTGGTGAGGGCACACTGGCCGGCCTCTGTATGTCCGGGGGCCAAATCCTGGGCATAGGCAGGATGTTCCACACTGGGCCTCCCCTCACCTGCAGTCATAGCCGTCGCCATCCTTCTCCTCCTCCTCCTCCTCCCTCCTCCTCCTCCTCCTCCTCCGCACCCTCTCTTTTGTTGTCGTCGTCGTCTGCTCTGATATCACCATAGCCTGGCAGTAATGTGACGACGTGTTAGGATCGCCCCATCACCTTGACTGAAGCGGGAGCCCAGCACACACAAGCAGTTTATTCAGTTGGCAGGTCAAACTCTGATCCTCGGACAGCTTCTCCAGAGTGGCCAGCCTAGAGTAGCGTGGATCCTCTTGGGTGGGTGCCTTGGCAGAAGCGGTTTGAAGTCAGAAGATCCTGAGGTTTGCCACTTGTTGAGCAGTGGGAAGATGTTTCTACTCTGCATGGCCGAGGTTGTTTCTTGTGGCCTTGCTCGCTGTAAGCGTCCTGAATGCAATGCAGACAGACTCATGCAAGTTATGTACATGCACCAAGAACGCAAGACATTGGCACTTCGAGGCCAGGTGGTTGGAAGATTGCTTTTCCAACTGTAAATGAACGTGGAATTCCCAACACAACCTGTGGCACCGAGAAGGGGCTCCATACAAGCTTCAGCTCAGGTTTGTTTGCGCCGAGAGGCAAGTCCTTTGACTTGCCCCTCCGGGAAGACTCCAATCTTGAAGCGTCTTGCACTTCATGAGGCAAGGTTGGCTGGGCCGACTACCATGACCAGTTTTACCGCTTTCACAAAGCTCGGAAGCATTGATTACTTTGACCAGCATTTCCGCTTGCGAAGCAGGGCGGAAGCATGCGGAAGCATTGCTTGCTTTGAAGCTGACATAATCTCGTCTTAAGTCTTCATTCACGAGGGATTGTCCGCTCATAGCAGAAACAGAAATATCACTGTGTCCGAACCTGGTAGCTTTGGCGCTTGTGCACATTCGGTATGGGTGGTGAGCCACTTTGGGTGGCAAAGGGCTGCATGTCGTAAATCTGAAGAGGCTGCCATCGCCATGCTGAGTGCAAAGCTTGGGAATCCGGGCTGTCGAGTGCCATTTGCAGGCGTTCAGACATGGAAATCGGCATGAGACAGCATCCACCATGCTGTAGCTTCCAGCTAGAAGCCTGGACCATCCGCCTCAACACTGTGATAAGCTGCCGATGAACATCTAGAATCAAGCAGAGGTGAATGCCCCAAATGGGAGGCTCGTGCATTTCTGCTTCATTTGAGGGCAAGGGACAGGGTGTACGTGGCAGATTGTGGCAGCTTGCGGTAACATGTTCGACATATTCCGGCTGTTCGGTCTTAGCGACTCAGGGCCTGTGAAGTCGATATGTCGTTCAACATTCTTTCATTGTGGGGTAAACTTTTATTCCGTTCTGTTTAATTAACACAGTGTTTGATCACGAGGCCTCCAAGCAATTGACCGCCCATGATCTGTAATGTTGGCAGCAGTCCAAGACATGATTTGACAGCAGCTCTGTGCTTGTACGCAAGTGAAGTTCGGTTTTGAGGTTCCGAGGGGAGAGCATATGTTTGTCGGCAGCCGTATTCATTCTCAGTTCTCGCGACCTTCATGCAGATACTCCGAGAGATGATGTCTCCAACGATGAAAGCCATTTCTGTCTGCATATCCGAAACTCAACATGGGCCCGAGGAGAACTCTCAAGGTAGCTGTAGTCTCACATCAAAATGCCAGCAATACGTATGAAAGACCGTGAGCCTCGACTGACTCTTATTCCTGAACAACAGTATCGCGAAGACTAACCGTGCCGTTAGACTGATAGACCTTACATACATCGGCCCCAACGGTGACAGTAGTCTTCTATGTCAATGTCATTTTCACCGAAAAGAGATGCCTTATACTTATAAATCCACGTCTTAATTCGTATGGATTAAAAATGCTATGTCGACTAGTAGCCCCACTGTGCATTCCATACTAACTCGAAGATTAATATAACAACATACATCAGCCTGATTGGCCTCCCGATGGTAAGGATGTTGCAGTCCCCTTGGCAACCTTAATATTGGATTTGATTCCAAGATGGACCTGATCGCAAACTTCATGTTACCCATAAGCTGTTCTATTGGCAACCTTCGTGCCGTATCGGATACTTTCTTCAACAGCAACACAAATACTGGCATTGCGAGAAACCCCGACCATTGGCCTCATCAACAGGTTAATTAATCCAGATGTAGCTGTGGGATCGTTAGCATGAGCATTCAAGTCCACAAAGTTACACGTCATGTCATCCCCAATACCAGCTACTGTTGATGTTAATGCAGGTAAGTTAAATAATTATTGCCCAAACATTTACTTCAACGGTACCCGTTATATTCATGCTAACATTAGACTACACACAACGAATTCTATTAAGGACCACGATCCTTGCTGGTTTCGCTCTGGCGTTACCCAAGTGATGGCTCTTAGACCTTTAGGGATGATAGAATCTTAGCAAGGGATGATAGAATCTTATCAAGGTGGGAAGCTGCTGTTGAAACCATCGCATGCGTACTCTGCAGAGTTAGTTATGCAGCCTCTCTTAGAGAAACAGCTGTGTGGACTTTTGAGTGCGTTTCCTGTTGTTTGAGTGGGCCTTAAGATGATACTGTTGTCATGTTCTGTCCGCGATTTATTCCGTCTACATGCAGCAACTACTTAACGAGAGAGCGAGAACCGATGTCATTATTTAAATTCCTGATACATCGTACTGGGCTGTCGAGGATCTGTCGAGGATCTTTTTCTCAGATGATGTGTAAGCTGCACATGGATCCTTTTAACATGTCTCGATCTCTTTTTAAGTTTGGCTATTGGTCTGTTGGGGTTTGTAGCATGCTTTGATTGCATGTGCGGCACATATTGTTGCGAAAGATGAAGAGGTGGCTTTGAGAGAGATCGCTCTCTTTTTAGCATGCAGTTCCACGCCACAAAAAATGAGATAGACTCAGGATTCAAGCCGACGATTGGAGCTTGTAGTTGTTCTCTTCAGTATGGCAGTGATATGGTTATTTTGAATGTGGAAGCCATGATGTCTGTCAGCCTGTGAGGTACGCTATTTATCCCTGCCAGTTTATGATGGGTTCACCTATTCTGTTTATCTACCTTCAGACCACGCCCTGGCTCGGACATGTGATGTTTTTGGCCTTGCCACCATCGGCCTCAGGATCCTTTTGATAGTATTATTTGTAGTGCTTACAATCAGACTCAGTGTTCTTTATGCAGAGAGTCTGATCCTCGTGTGGCTGCGTTAGCCTCTGCATGGGTCTTCGGACCGAAAGCCAAAACACGCTGGAGTGCGTGCTTTGTCCTATGGGACGGCGCACGGCTCGATGATTTCTTTCTATTGTCTCGGATCACGCATTGCGAGCGACAATGTCGCCGTGTTAATAACACGTCCTGCAGCTCGTTATGCTCGGACGCCGTGCAGCGAATCAAAGTCAACAAAGCATGTGTTTGTTTACCTCAACATAATGTATGTGGCACTCCCTTCTCAGTGTAATATATGATCATGTCAGACTTGCTGTCGGACTTGCCCGTATGCGTTTATGTACATTTATGCGTGGATTTGCACATGCTAACCCTAAGGTTAAACTTGTACTAAATACCAACATAATGACCAGGATCGTTAACTGACTCCAGATTCCAAACAACGTCAAGCTTAACCCTATCCTTGTGCTTTGCTTTTATGTCTAAGACCATCCATAGGCGTTCTTATTGTTTCATTCACGACCTCAGTCAGCTAGAAGAAATCGTAGTGGTAGCTGTGATAACCCTGATATCTTGGGTCCTGGTCTGTGTTACACTTGCAACACTAACACTAGCTCTCTATTGACACCAAAACTGATCCGAATAATGTGCTGGTTCTTGCCCAGCGCATTGTATAGTATTGACGCTAAGCGGAATCGAATCCCAGCAATAATGACATTGGAACCTTGTTGGCAACACTTCGTAACGCGCACAAACAGCAAATGACGTACACATTCTTTGCTAGGAAAAACTTGGTCTAGGAGTGAAATACAATTTTTCCGTAGGAGAAAAATGGTTTTGGACCGAAAAACAAATTTTGGACCGGAAGACCAATATTTTTTTAAGAAAAGCCAGACCAAATTTCCCTAGCAAAAAATGGTTTTGAGATTGAATTATTCTTCACGCGGACAGAGGCGGATTCGGTGTGATAAAAACCTTATTTCCTGGGAAAACGAAGGTTTTGGTGTGAAGTGTTTGGTCATTGACCGCATAGTTTACCAACAGATGTTTTTTTTTCTGTTCCCAAGAAAAAAGTTAATGTTCCGGTCCAAGAACAGCTTTCTCCGAGGAACAAAGTTGTCTTTCCGGTTCCAAGCCATTTTTTCTTAGGACAAAGTTGGTTTTTCCCACCGAAACCGTGCTGACGACGAACCTGAACGAGTGTTCTGGCAAGTTGTATTGAAATGTGTGTTTGGTTTTGGTAGTTCTTCAAAGATACACAGAATCCGGACATGCCGGAAAAGTTGGTTTGACACGGTATTTACGTTACAAGGCGAGGGTCGGTAGTTCATAGGGGGGTTACGATGTGTGTATGTATACATATATATATATATGTGGCTGGCA